CTATATATATATATATATATATATATATATATATATATATATATATATATATATATATATATATATATATATATATATATATATATATATATATATATATATATATATATATATATATATATATATATATATATATATATATATATATATAGTTTTGTATCTAGTGAGAATGGGATCTAATCAAAATAATGAGAATGAATGTGATGCATTAGAGTAAAATCCCAGAGCCGTAAAACTTAGAAAAATAAGCAAAAATCTAAAAAAATGCAATGATATGCATATGCTGTGTGTACCCTTTAACTATGTATGTGTTAATTATTGTTGATATATATTTTAGCATATATCATCACACCCACTTTTAATGGGTAAGTTTATATTTTCAAAAGTCACTTTACTTAAAGTAATACTATAAAGAAGCTTTTGAAATATATATTTAGCATATGATTTTCTTTTGAAAATTGGGTGTGTACTCAAGAAAGATCTAATGATTTTTAAAATGGATCATGACTTTGAGACGGGGCACGCCTAGTCGCCAAGATGCTATATTAAGAAAAAGTTTTAGGGAGACATTTGTATTTAATTTTTATTTATTTTTTTAAGTACCAAAATTAAATACCACTCATTTGTATTTAATTTTTTTTTATTTTTTTTAATTTTCTTGTCTATTTGAGTGGTTATGGAGGGGTTGGAAGACAAATGGGGTACACCAAAGGTGTACCCCTAGCATTTTCCAAAGTTTTAAACTCGATCCTGGTCTAGCTCATATAACGAGTCTAACAATTAATGTCCAAGCCTAGCCTACAAAGCTACTCACGAGATTCGGCATGGAGTAGTATTTAGAGCATTCCATGGTCATTCCACCCCACTTTTCATGGCATTCCATGGCCATTCCACTCCAATTTTCATTTCATGTGCAAGGCATTACTCCTTCATTTTTTTATTTTTTTTAATATTTTTAATATTTTAATTTTTGAAAAAAAATATTTTTTAAAAGAAGTGGACATGTTTTAATAATAAAATAAATGTGTAAAATAATTTTTGATAATTAAAAATCATTAAAAAGTACAAAAATAAACAAAAACAATGGCTTGCCACTGTATGTTATGACACTCCACTCATTTACCACACGGTGACTGAGTTATTTTTTATTGATTGAAATAGTCCATGTCACCGTGTGACATTTCATTTTTGCTTTGTCATTGCTAATGCTCTTAAATAAAGTAATGTGTTACTATATTATTTCATCCGTGTCACAATATATTTTTCCTTAATTTCTTATTTTATCTGCTCAAAAAAACATTTCTCATTTCTATTTAAAAAATCTAGGATTTTTTGAAAGTCAACACCAAAATACACTTCCTTTAAAGCGTTTAAAAATCAAAACTAGAAAGATTGTGTGAGACGGAGGGAGTAGATATTTGATACAATTAGGAGTAAAATAAGTATACTCCTTCCGTCCCAAAAAGATTTACACGTTTCAAAAAAATTGTGTCCCACAATCCCTTACCCATTTCTATTAAAAAACCACTTTTACCCCTTACTTTTTTTCAAACCCTACCTATCACATCATACCTTTTTTTTAATAATCTACACATCACACTCTACTTTTACTCATCACATCAAGGGTATTTTTGGAAAGTCAACACAAAATTATCCCTCCCTTAATTTCAACTTTAGTCAAAATGGGTAACACTTTATGGAACGGAGGGAGTATTATCTAAGGGTCAACAAATGTATAAACTTTGCTTTAATTTCTTAGTAATTTTTCAATATATTCTCTACTCATTGAAGCCAGTAGAGTTATTGCTCCCTTTGGGGATCGAACATTCGACCTCTTGCTTAAAATGAGTCGTCAAAATTGACGCCGTGGAATTTCCCATGTTATTGTATTAATGCTCTCTAGTACCTCATTTGTCTTGAAATAAAGTTTTGCAATTAACTGTGCATGAGTGATTAAAATTGAAAATTTGTGATTGAGTTATGTATAGAAGAGAAACAATATATGTGAACTCGACAAAATTTGGTTGACACTGAAGTACGGTGAGACTCCGGTGTCACTGTTTTTCTGGATAAATTCTGATGTTTTGTTTACGAAATTGATGGTTTCTACCCTTACTCCCACCCTCTTTGCTCCTCTAAACGTGTGGTGATTGTGCATTGCATAATAGCAACACATTTGGAGTGGGCAAAGGTGGGCTGCTAGGGTGGGGGATTCGGAAGGATTAGGGAATAAATACTATCGTTTTGTAGAGCATAACGTTTGAGACATTTCAAATGAAAGAGCGAGTGACATCTGCTGATACTGGATATATGTTATTGTTAATGCTTTAACGGAACTTACCGATGTGAACTACTTAGTTTCTTCTTTGAAAGAAAAAAATAAGTTGAAAGAAAGAAAAAGATAAGATTAAAACCCTTTATGAAATAGATAGGGTAGGAGAATGCTAGTATAAATGAGGATGAAAATGCAATTTGTCTAGCTAGCGTGGATTGTTGCAATTAAAAATATTCCTGGGGCAGAGTGGAAATTATTCAAACACTTGACGGGGTTCAACCGTTATAATAAAAAAAACACACAAATTGATTTTTGACATTTTGGGGTGTTGGAACTTTTCATTTTTGCCGTGTATTTATAATCCCTTCATTCCTTGGCATTCCCTCCACGAAACTCCTCTTCCACCTTCCTAGCTAATAATTAGTAGTACTTAGCTATGGCTCTCACTCTGTTTTTCTTGGGTGCCCTTGTTGCAATGGCCTCAAATGTCAATTGCGATTCCTCTCAAGGGTGGACCGACGCCCACGCCACCTTCTACGGCGGAAGCGACGCCTCCGGGACAATGGGTACGTATGCATTATACCGATTTTGCCCTTTGTTGTGTTTAGTACTTCCTACGTTCCTTTAAACCCCTGTTAAAATTCCGGCGGGCCGATAACAACGGATAGAGTGTCGGGTGAAATTAACCACTTGCATATAAAGTCGGGATCCACAATTCTAACCCAAAAGCTTAAGCTGATAGGTAGGGCTTCACCCTTCAATATATGCAAGTGATACTCATATTTATTTTTCTATGTGGGAACTCCAACAACCCCCTTCCACTTTTGAGGTTGGGCAAAAATGAAAAATGTAATTTTGGTTTACTTTCCAATTTTGCCCCTAATGTGATGGGTAAAAGTAAGATGTGATAGTTTTGTTATTTGTGAAAAAACTATGATGTAATAGGTAGGGTATGAAAAAGTAAAGATAAAAGTGATTTTTTAATAAAAAGTGGAAGTGTTTTAGGGAATTCAAAAAAAACGAAAGGAAAAGGGTATGTTCTTTAATATAACTCGACCTTTTTTTTTCACACCTACAGGAGGGGCTTGTGGTTACGGGAATTTGTACAGCCAAGGGTATGGCACAAGGACCGCAGCCCTGAGCACACCTCTGTTCAACGATGGCCTGGGCTGTGGGTCTTGCTATCAGATTAAGTGCGAGGACAGCCAATTTTGCCTGGGAGACTCTATTGTCGTCACCGCCACTAACTTTTGCCCTCCCGGCGGGTGGTGCGATCCTCCCAACGTCCACTTCGACCTCTCTCAGCCTGGCTTCATGGACATTGCCCAATACAGAGCCGGGGTCGTCCCAGTCTCTTACAAAAGGTATTTACTCGATCCGTTCTCAAAAAGAATTTCTAGTTTGACCAAATGTAAAAATAAGAAAAAGTTAAATTGTAGTTTACTCTCAATTTTGATGAGTAAAAGTAAGATGTGACGTATAGATTTACGTCTTTTTGTTGATGAACTCATTTTAATTTATACGGAGTATATTATTTGCAGGGTGCCCTGTCAGAGGAGGGGCGGAATAAGGTTCACCATCAACGGACACTCATACTTCAACTTGGTGTTGGTCACCAACGTGGGCGGCGCCGGAGACGTGCACGCGGTGGCTGTGAAGGGTTCAGGAACAGGGTGGCAGCCCATGTCGAGGAACTGGGGGCAAAACTGGCAAAGCAACTCGTACCTCAACGGACAGGCCTTGTCGTTCAAGGTGACCACCAGCGACGGCCGCACTGTGGTGTCCAACAACGTCGCCCCGGAGGGCTGGTCATTCGGTCAAACCTACTCCGGCAGCCAGTTCTAATAAATGACACTTTATATAAAAATTGTTACTTGAGAGTGGTGTTTGTTACGTTGTGGGGTCAAAATGGGAAGGCTCGGTAATTAGAGAAAGCCTTCGCCATTAAGGTTAAGGTTTGTCTGGATGCCCTGATTTATTATGAAGGGGTTCCGATCAAATCCTTAGCTTCTCCCCCAACTCCTTCTTTCTTGCTTGTTTTTATCTCGTGAAATGGGCACCGTACCGTATATACTCTCAATAACTTAACTTCTATTACTACATAAATGCATGCAGACCTATTTAAGTTTGGATTTTTGAATGAATGTATCTGATAATTCTTTATCGTTTTTGATATATCAGCTTTTTATAAATTCTATGTAATTAAAAGTATATTTAGCATGTGATCAAAGATAGCATATTTTTTTTTATAAATTTAATGTAATTAAAATTATGTTTAGCATGTGATCAAAGTTAGCATAAAAGTAAAATTATGAAAAATAACTTGGGAGGGAGGGAGCAAGTAATTATTAGTAATTTATAGTATTAATTTATTAGATTGTTAGATAAAAACTTCTTTCCCGTTTCAAATTAGGAGGTTTGATTGAAATAATATTTAATTCAATCATAAATGTATAACTTAAAAATAAAATTAATACATTTTAAAACTTTCTTAAAAGATTTACAAAATAAGTTGCTTGTTTTATTAAATCACTGATGAACCAAAAGAGTGAATAAATTTGATTGTATAAAGAATAATTTAAATGAAAGTTAAGATTGTTGGACAAATGGAGACATAGACAAGCAGATTAGTATTCTTTTTTATTTCTGAGTTAGAGTATATCCAACCATATCACTTTGGCCTTCTAAAAGCTATAAAAAACACAAATTTAGAACGAATTTTAGGTGAGCCACCGAGACTATACGGGTGGGGGAGAGAGCTAGATATGTAGGTGAAGAGAACGACATAATTTGTTCAACAAATTTGATGATATGACTCACAAAGACATCATGATTTTCTAGATCAAGAGCATGGTAGCGTTTTTGGCTGAAAGGCTAGGGTAGAGAGTGGTACTTGGGCTTCAAACCCCTCACGAGGTACTCATAGATGAGGCTCCACCCCGTGGGAGACTATAAAAGACCTTTAGTTGTTTTATAAAAACCTTCCAACATACTCCTCTTATTACTATGCATCGGGTACCAGATCAATTGGATCGTTGATTTGTACCTTCAATCGTACATGCACCTCGAGATTTCATTTTAGATCTTCGAGAGAGAAGCCCCATATCTATTCCGATTCTGGATCCAGATACGGAACTGGAATGGGCTATGCCTTCACCTATGCTATTAAATTTCAAACCAAAGCATTTTTTGTCTTGAAATTGAAAAGAAATGGGCCCTGGATAATCTATCGATGATTCCGGAATATGTGTTCAACCCAGGCATGCAAAGTCCATATCAATGCCTTGACAATGAATTCCCTCAACTTACACCGTACTTTCACTGGAAATGGATTGAAGCCCAGTGTTTAAAATTCCGGCTTGAAACTTTTATTTTTTACATTTTTAATACACATTTTGTAAAATTAAATTAATGAGATTTCACTAATTAATTAAATTAAAACTATAATAATTCATTAAATACAAAAATTAGATTCGGTAAAATAAATAACATTAAATTTAAGAATATACATTAATATAAAACTAAGGCAAATTATATTTAGCCTTAATCTCTTTTTGACTTCTCTCGTAAAACATACATTTGAAGCCCGTTTGTTAGTTCCATATTGTGTTGACATTATTTTTTGACAAATGAATAGATTTACCTAGAATTATTTAGATGTTTTATATAGACCTAGAGTCCCAGCATCTGCAGAAAGAGAAAGAGGAAAGAGCTTGAAGAGAGAATTGTAATGCTACTTTAAGAGCCTGGTCTTTAGTACTTGAACTTTTAACTTATAGTTTATTCCAATGCCTTCCAATTTCTTCCAGCTTCTTCCAGTTCTTTCAGTTTCTTCCAACTATTCTCATTTTCTTCCAACTCTTTTTACTCTCCAACCAATTATTCTAAAAATGATATATATTTAATGTGATTATTATTATTATTATTATTACAACTGCTATGTTCAGAACTATAGTTTATAAATTATTTTTTCATCTCACTATTTTTACAAATCACACTCATTATTTTTTTCTTTAATTTTCTAATATGAATAAGACAATTTTTTGTATATTAATATACATGATAAAACAGGAAAACATCAATATGTTAAATTATATTTAAAAAAATTATAATAGTGACATAGAAAAAGACTAAAATAGGATTAAAACATAAAAAATGTAAAAAAAGTTCTATGTCTTTATTTCAAAAATAGGACGTCAATGAAAATAAAATGTTAATCATGAAAGAAAAAATAGGTTTGATTACATTATATGACATGTTTGATATTTAAAACAAAATCTTGTAATATATAAAGTATAATTACAAATATATTATTTATAATAAATACTGCATAAATAAATTGAGGTGCAATGTAACCTCAAAAGCTTTTTAAAATTTACTATTTTATATTTATGCTAGCTTTATATTATAAATATTGTTCTGCTAAAATAGTTTTTTTATTTGAAAAATAACAGTACTTTTTTATCTTAAAGGCATTCATTAAGATAACGTGATGATGATGATGATGATGATAACAATTTATAAAAAAAGAATTTAAAATGAATTTTTTTTAAAGTTTTTTAGGTTTTCCAATTTTTTGAAGTTTTTCCAGTTTCTTCCTGTTCCTTCCGGTTTCTTACAATTCCTTCCAGTTTTTTCCAGTTTCTTCCAGTTCCTTCCAGTTGCTTCCAATTCCTTCCAGTTTCTTCAAGTTCATTCTGGTTTTTTCCAGTTTCTTCCAACATCAAGCTCTTTTTTTCCAGTTCTAAAGAACATGCTCTTAGTTTACTATTCTTGAGGAGGAAGCCATGGTTGAGATTCCTAAGTACACTGTAACAGGGTTATTTTATTCCATATATTATCTTCGCCTTCCTTTACGGTTTTGTTGGGTGAAAATATGAAAAAACAGAAGCAAATCCGATCAAAAAAGGGAAGAAGGTGCAGTTTTTTACAGTGCAAATTTTCTGGACAGCCTGCACAAATTTGATCATCGCTGAAGATCCGATCGTTGGATCTTGCTGAAATTTCTAGAGACTATTCCCAACACATAGGGCTTCACCCTGTTCAATTTTCATGCCAATCAAAGTTATGAATCTGCTGTTATGGAATTACAATCCACATATTACCGCTATATTATTGCAAAAACCGCAGCTCTGGTTTGGTCGATGATTGGAGTACCAAATCTTTTCTGATCGTGCGGAAATTTTAGGAGGAGTCGTGAAGCTTCAATATGAAAGGTGGAGATCAAATTCCAATAGTTCAATCTTGATTTATGAGTTTGGGATCAGCCTGCATGTTTTTGTAGAGAAAGGCAGAATCTTTGTTTGAAGGTGTACTAGAATCTACGTCCGTAAAGAAGATCTTGGAGAGGGTGTAACAAGTAGTGGATATAGACGCAAACAGAGTTTGTTATCAAGTCATTCGTAAGTAGACAAATCAATACATTAGAAGGTTTTCTTGCGATTGGTTGTGTAATTCTTACAGTGGTTTAGTGGAAGGGATGTTAAACGGATGTGGACCCCACAGATGTCAGAGAGTTGCCTCGAACTACATAAACAATTTTTGTATGTTGTTTGCAGCTTTTACTTTATATTCAGCATGCGTGTGTGCTTGTGACAGAGAAGATGTAATATCACTATGTCTGTCATCTCTTACTGTGACAGTGATGCATAGTTGTTTGATCTGTTTGTATAGCTTTCAATTTGTGATTTCTAGTGCACCCCCGCAAACTTACACCGTTAACATATCAAAGTCGGTTTCTGTTATTTCGAGCTCCTCATTCTCTTGTCTTCGTTTTCTCTCTTTTCTTTCCTAAGATTGAACACCCGCAGTTGTCCAAACATTGCCCTGCCGATATTATTAGAAATAGAGCTGGACACTACCGAACCCGAGGCAATGAATCTTGCATTCTTTCTTTCGATCAGCCGTGGAATGGGGTCATCGGAGTCCTTTGTTCCGACGAGCCGATAGTGTCATTGGCCTCAACCTCGACGGAGGACCTTTTCTTTGACAATCTGGCCTTGGAGTTTTTGATTTGTTGCCATTTCGGTGAACGGCTCAAAATTCTCCAAAGACCGATTGAGACTTAGCCATGGTGTTCGTCGTTTTGTTTGACTTGAGACTGGATGGAGAAATCGAAGGGATTCATGTTAAAAATAAAAAATACTTGAATAATTTTTTTTAGAAAGAGGAGAGAGAGATTTATGTTTGTGGTGTCTGTTTTATTTTATTGAGGAGGAATTATTTCAAATATGCAACGGCATAGCCACTGAGGAGGGGAGGGGACTGGGTTAAACATTTGACGCATGCAGCTTAACGCTAGGATGAAGCCCCACGGGGCGGTGTTTAACACCGGGAGCGTTAAAATTGGGAAGAACGTCCCGACTTTATTAGTATTTCCAGTGTTCTGAGATAACTTGGGCAACAACTTGGTGTACTTCAAGTCGTTTTTCAAAAACGTAATATTGCATTTGCCACCAAAAAATATTCCACCTAGACTTGAGACAAATATTAATAAAAATGAAATCATATAATTGAAATTTATATATATATATATATATATATATATATATATATATATATATATATATATATATATAAAAGAAATTATAAGAGCCACAAAAATGTTTTTAAAAGTAGAACGTAAATGCTTTTCTCTAAGTGCGGATTAATAAAGGGAAAATGAAATACTCTATTTAAAGTAGAATACTTCCTTCATCCACAAATGAAGTTCTTATTGCGCGTTACGATTTTGACTGAAATTATTTTCAAATCATTTTATATAAAAAATGGTATGGAATTAAAAAATAAAAATTACATATTTAAAAAATACATGAAAAGATCTGCAAAACTAGAGTTGACATGATTATATTATTTCATCAAATAAGACACAAAAATAGGCCAACAAAGTGAATAAAATTTGACCTTGTGAATAGTGAACGGGAACTTTATTGTTGGACGGAGGGAGTATAATTTTGGATTAAGCTATGTGTACCCTAACATTTATACTCCAATTTGTACCCCGCAGGTTTGCATCAACATTTTGTGTTGGTATAAAACTAATTTTTGTTAACGCACCAACATTTGTGTTCGTATAATTTTTTGTTAATGCACCAATACTTGTGTTGGTGTAAACCATCAAAATGTTTGTCCATAGTTGTGGTGTACAAATGAACAGTGGCGAATCCAGAATTTTTTTTCACCGGGGGCAAATTTGGTTAGCACAAATATAATAAAAATAAATTAAAAATATAAAAAACCACGTAATTAAACTAAAACAAACATACATTCTATAATTGTTCTCTATGAGTTTTCTTTTTTTAAAACGAATTTTCATTTGTTGAAAATGATCAATTACATCTACGTTAGTAAAATATTAGAAAATTCTAAAAACACTTTGTATAAGTCATTACACTATTTTAGCTTTTTTTAACAACAATTTCACTAAATAAGCTTTGTAAAATATCAACCGCAGAGTCCTAAAATTTTTAAAACACAATTTTTTGCAATATTTCGCTTTCTTTACTCCTATAGTCCTATCCTCTTTCCTAACAAATTCAATTGTCAACAATGGCAAATTCTATGATGGTCCTTAAGTTTATCATGGGTCTATATATGAGATAAATAAATAAATTCTAATTATCTATATGAGCATTTATTTTAATAAAAAAATAAAAAATAAATATAATGAATTTTTATGTGAGAAGGTATACAAAAAAAGAATGCACTCAAAGGTACACCATAGAAGCACTCATCAACAATTGTTAACAAAGTAACACATTATGCATAAAATAATTTTTAGACTAAAAATGCAAAAAATCTATATATAAAAAAAGAAATACATGATAACATGATAAGAAAAAGAAGTAACAAGATTGAACAATTTCTGCAGCTTTTCTTCATGATTTATGGAACGTAGTGGAGTCATTTGAAGTCTATTTGGAAAAGAATTATTAGTAACATTTAATCTTTATTGCATTTGGTTAGGTAAATTTTTGTCTTCATTTAGTCTTTTTGTTTAGGTTGGGGGCAATGGTAATTTTTCCAAAATTTAATGGGGGCAAGCTGGCAATTCCTATAAAATTTTAACAATAAAACAATTTTTTTACATTGCAAATATATATTTCATTGGGGGCAATTGCCCCCCTATATATCCTAAGTAGATCCGCCAGTGTAAATGAAGTACATTTTTTGGTGTAAGTGTAGCATGGTTGTATAATTTTTAAGGTACACATATTTTAATTCTAAAAATATTCCTGGGGGCAGACACGAAATTATTCAAAAACTTGGCCGAGTTCCGCACTTCCACCGTTCAAATTAAAAAAGAAAAAAAACACAAATTGATTCTGTGGTCTTCAACTTTTTGTCGTGACAGTTTTTAGAGCACTGGTAATGGTTATGAAGCCCCGGGGCTTCAAACTTTCTCTCTCTGCCACGTCAGCTTTAACTTACACCCAAAATTCACTGGAAATGGGTTTGAAGCCCCGGGGCTTCAAAACTGGGCTTCAAACTTTCATTTTTTACATTTTTAAATATACATCTTCTAAAATTAAATTAATAAAATGTAATTAATTTATTATTTAATTAAATTGAAACACGAATATTAAAAAAAATACATTCATTAAATAAAAAAAGCGTCAATAATTTAAAAAACGATACATTAATAAAAAAAACTAAGGTAAATTATATTTCTCCTTGATCTCTCTCATTCTTTGCTCATAGATCATTCGTCCAAACTCCGACAACGTCCCGGGGTCGGTTTGCATGACTTTCATCTCAGCCTCCTGCTCCTTTAGCTTCAACCTCTCTTGTTCTTGGAGATTGAACGCCCGAAGTTGTTCAATCATTGCCCGGCCGATTTCGTCGCGGGGAGAAGCGGAAACAGAGGCGGACCCTCCCGAACCCGAGGCAATGGATTTTGCCTTCTTTCTTCCGATCGGCCGTGGAATGAGGTCCTCGTCATCGGAATCCGCAACGTTGAAGGGAGGGATTTGATCGCTAGAACCGATAGTCTCGTCGACCTCAACCTCGGCGTCGACGGTGGATCTTTTCCGGAACGATCCGCCGTCGGGATTGTTGAGTTGTTGCCACTTCGGGGAACGACTCAAAATCCTCCAAAGATCGATGGGCACCTTGCCTTGGTTCCCGTCGTCTTGATACCGGGTCGTGGCAAG